CCTACTCTATCTATTTATCTATCTATCTATCTATCTATCTATCTATCTATCTATCTATCTATCTATCTATCTATCTATCTATCTATCTATCTGTCTATCTATCTAAAATGAAGAAGGTATTCTGTCTTGTTATTGTTATTATTAGTTATTATTTACATATATACATATGCGATGCCATTGCCTACATATCATATACAATATGTATGTATATGATGTATGAAATATATATGTGATATGATGTACATGTTTGTATCTTGCATATATTCTTGGCTTGCTTATATATCTCAGCCTTCAACAATACAAGATACAAATAAATATTAGTATAATAATAAGACAAACCTCTTTTGTCTTATTATTGTTAGTATTATCAGTTATTGTTATATACATATATGATATGCACATGATACATTTAAGGAAATAAAAATTCAGGGGTTTCTTAGAAAAGTAGTACTCAGAGTTGGTTTGGCCAGTTCTTTCCTCTGAAATGGAGCCTGCGATTCATTGCCGGTCTCCCATCCAAGGACCAACTATGGCTGGCCCTGCTTAGCATCCAAAACTAGGTGGCTATCCATTACCTTCAAGGGAGTGTAGATAGGTTTTCCGAGTAAAGTAATACTCAGAGTTGGTTTGGCCAGTTCTTTCCTCTGAAATGGAGCCTGCAATTCATTGCCGGTCTCCCATCCAAGGACCAACCATGGCTGGCCCTGCTTAGCACCCATAACTAAGTGGCTATCCATTACCTTTGAGGGAATGTAGATAAGTTTTCTTAGTAAAGTAATACTCAGAGTTGGTTTGGCCAGTTCTTTCCTCTGAAATTGAGCCTGCAATTCATTGCCGGTCTCCCATCCAAGGACCAACCATGGCTGGCCCTGCTTAGCATCCACAACTAGGTGGCTATCCATTACCTTCAAGGGAGTGTAGATAAGTTTTCTTAGTAAAGTAATACTCAGAGTTGGTTTGGCCAGTTCTTTCCTCTGAAATGGAGCCTGCGATTCATTGCCGGTCTCCCATCCAAGGACCAACTATGGCTGGCCCTGCTTAGCATCCAAAACTAGGTGGCTATCCATTACCTTCAAGGGAGTGTAGATAGGTTTTCCTAGTAAAGTAATACTCAGAGTTGGTTTGGCCAGTTCTTTCCTCTGAAATGGAGCCTGCGATTCATTGCCGGTCTCCCATCCAAGGACCAACTATGGCTGGCCCTGCTTAGCATCCAAAACTAGGTGGCTATCCATTACCTTCAAGGGAGTGTAGATAGGTTTTCCTAGTAAAGTAATACTCAGAGTTGGTTTGGCCAGTTCTTTCCTCTGAAATGGAGCCTGCGATTCATTGCCGGTCTCCCATCCAAGGACCAACTATGGCTGGCCCTGCTTAGCATCCAAAACTAGGTGGCTATCCATTACCTTCAAGGGAGTGTAGATAGGTTTTCCTAGTAAAGTAATACTCAGAGTTGGTTTGGCCAGTTCTTTCCTCTGAAATGGAGCCTGCGATTCATTGCCGGTCTCCCATCCAAGGACCAACTATGGCTGGCCCTGCTTAGCATCCAAAACTAGGTGGCTATCCATTACCTTCAAGGGAGTGTAGATAGGTTTTCCTAGTAAAGTAATACTCAGAGTTGGTTTGGCCAGTTCTTTCCTCTGAAATGGAGCCTGCGATTCATTGCCGGTCTCCCATCCAAGGACCAACTATGGCTGGCCCTGCTTAGCATCCAAAACTAGGTGGCTATCCATTACCTTCAAGGGAGTGTAGATAAGTTTTCTTAGTAAAGTAATACTCAGAGTTGGTTTGGCCAGTTCTTTCCTCTGAAATGGAGCCTGCGATTCATTGCCGGTCTCCCATCCAAGGACCAACCATGGCTGGCCCTGCTTAGCATCCAAAACTAGGTGGCTATCCATTACCTTCAAGGGAGTGTAGATAATTTTTCTTAGTAAAGTAATACTCAGAGTTGGTTTGGCCAGTTCTTTCCTCTGAAATGGAGCCTGTATAGCTTATTTATGGTTGGACTCCCATCCAAGGGCCAACCAGGGAAGGCCCTGCTTAGCATCCGAAACTAGATGGCTATCTGATAACTTTTAAGGGAATATAGATCTCATAAGTGATTCTATGGTCAAAAGTTATTTGAGAAGTTCTTTCCTCTGAAATAGTGCCTGGTCTCCCATATAAGAGCCTATCCCTGGCCTGTCTCCCATCCAAGGATCAGCCAGGGCCCACCCTGCTTAGCATCCAACTTCAGAATTAGGATATTTTTTTTACTTACGCCAATAATAATAATAATAGTAATAATAATAATAATAATAATGTGGGGATTCATAGGTCTTCCTTAAGAGTGTAAGAGCCTATTCCTGGTTGGTCTCCCATCCAAGGACCAACCAGGGCCCACCCTGCTTAGCATCCAAGTTCAGAATTAGGATATTTTTTTGACTTATGCCAATAATAATAATAATAATAATAATGTGGGGATCCATAGGTCTTCCTTAAGAGTATAAGAGCCTATTCCTGGTCGGTCTCCCATCCAAGGACCAACCAGGGCCCGCCCTGCTTAGCATCCAAGTTCAGAATTAGGATATTTTTTGACTTACGCCAATAATAATAATGTGGGGATCCATAGGTCTTCCTTAAGAGTATAAGAGCCTATTCCTGGTCGGTCTCCCATCCAAGGACCAACCAGGGCCCGCCCTGCTTAGTATCCAAGTTCAGAATTAGGATATTTTTTGACTTACGCCAATAATAATAATGTGGGGATTCATAGGTCTTCCTTATGAGTATAAAAGCCTATCCCTGGTCGGTCTCCCATCCAAGAACCAACCAGGGCCCGCCCTGCTTAGCATCCAGGATCAGAATTAGGATTTATTTTTTGGCTTATGCCAATAATAATAATGTTGGGATCCATAGGTCTTCCTTAAGAGTATAAGAGCCTATTCCTGGTCGGTCTCCCATCCAAGAACCAACCAGGGCCCGCCCTGCTTAGCATCCAAGTTCAGAATTAGGATATTTTTTGACTTATGCCAATAATAATAATAATAATAATAATAATAATAATAATAATAATAATGTGAAGATCCATAGGGCTTCCTTAAGAGTATAAAAGCCTATTCCTGGTCGGTCTCCCATCCAAGGACCAACCAGGGCCCACCCTTCTTAGCATCCAAGTTCAGAATTAGGATTTTTTTTTGGCTTATGCCAATAATAATGTGGGGATCCATAGGGTTTCCTTAGAAGAACCTATCCCTGGTCGGTCTCCCATCCAAGCACCAACCAAGCCAGACCCTGCTTAGCAACAAAGGTCAGGCCTTTTCTCCTGCCTTCTTTGGGCTGAACTCCTCGTTCCTTCCGAGGAGTAACGCGTTCCAAGTAGCGCCGTTCCTCCTGCGTTGGGACCCGAGGGCGCCCCCTAGAGGCCGCCTGTGCGACCTGCCCGGCCAAGCCCCTCCGCTTCGAACAGCCAATCAGCACCTAGGGGGCGGGGCTTGGAAAGGGGCGGAGTCTGGCTAGGGATCTGCAGAGAGCAGAGCTCACAACACCTGGGCGCTGGAAGGAGCTGCACCGTCCGCATTGGCTCCTATCGCGCGATAGAGAGCGCTCCCGCCCCGGCACGTTCCTCCTTCGTTCATTCTTTTCTTCCCCCCTCCTTCCTTCCTTTCCTCTTTTTGTTCTCTCATCCTTTTTTTTAGTTTCTAACCCTTTTCCTTCTTACTTTCTTTCTACCTTTCCTTCCTTATCTTTCCCTTCTTTCTTCCCTTTCTCCTCCTTCCTTCTTCCTTCCTTCCTTCCTTCCTTCCTCCTCCTTTCCTTCCTTCCTTCCTTCCTTCTTACCTTCCTTCCTTCCTCCTTCCTTCCTTCTCTCCTTCCTCTTTTTCCCCCTTTCCTTCCTTCCCTTCTTTTTTTCTTCCCTTCTTCTCTCCTTCCTTTCTTTCTCTCCTCTTTCCTCCTTTCCTTCCTTAGTTTCTCCCCTCCTTTATTTCCTTCTTCCTTCCCTTCTTTTCTTTCCTTAGTTCTTTCTCACCCTCCTCTTTTCCCACCTTCCTTCCTTCTCACTTTCTTGGATCCTTCCCTCCTTTTATAAAAGGTATTTCTTCCTCTTTTCTTTCTTACTCTTTCTTAGTTTCTTCCCTTCTTCTCTTCTTTCCTTACATCTTCTTCACTCTCTTCCTTTTTACTTTCTTGGATCCTTCCCTCCTTTTATAAAAGGTATTTCTTCCTCTTTTCTTTCTTACACTTTCATCCCTTCCTTTCTTAGTTTCTTCCCTTCTTCTCGCCTTTCCTTACATCTTCTTCACTCTCTTCCTTTTTTACTTTCTTGGATCCTTCCCTCCTTTCTTTATAGGTATTTCCATCCTTTCTTTCCTTCCTTCCTTTCCCTTCTCTTCCCTTTCCTTAAGTCTTTCTCCCCCTCTTCTCACTTTCTTGGATCCTTCCCTCCTTTTATAAAAGGTATTTCTCCCTCCTTTCTTACTTACTCTTTCCTTCTTTTTTCCCTTCCTTTCTCTCCTTAGTTTCTTCCTTTCTTCTCTCCTTAGGCCTTCCTCGCTCTCTTCCTTCTTACTTTCTTGGATCATTCTTTCTTTATAGGTATTTCCATCCTTTCTTTCCTTCCTTCCTTTCTCTCCTTCTTAATTCCTTCCCTTCTTCTCTCCTTTCCTTTCCTTAAGTCTTCACTTCTCACTTTCTTGGATCCTTCCCTCCTTTCTTTACAGGTATTTCCTTCCTTTCTTCCTTTTCCTTCTTACTTTCTTCCCTTCTTCTCTCCTTTTCTTTCCTCAGGTCTTCCTCACTCTCTTCTTTTTTTACTTTCTTGGATTCTTCCATCCTATCTTTATAGGTATTTCTTTCTTTCCTTCATTCCTCTCCTTCTTAGTTCTTCCCTTTTTCTCTCCTTTCCTCTTCCTTAAGTCTTTCTCACTTCTTTTTTTTACTTTCTTGGATCCTTCCCTCCTTTCTTTACAGGTATTTCCTTCCTTCCTTTCTCTCCTACTTAGTTCCTTCCCTTCTTCTCTCCTTTCCTCACTCTCTTCCTTCTTACTTTCTTGGATCCTTCCCTCCTTTCTTTACAGGTATTTCCTTCTTTCTTCCATTTCTTCCCTTCTTTCCTTCCCTCCTTTCTTTGGACCCTTGACCAAGCAGCGGCCGAAGGGCTCTCCATGCGCTGCTGCTCTTTGCCGGGCAAGTGAGGCCGACCAAGTCCCAGCGCTGCCTGAAGCCTCCTTCCAAGATGGCCTTCCTCCTGCTGGGTAAGCCTCCGCCTCTTCCTCCTCTTTCCTTCAGTTCAAAGCAGATAATCTGGATGTCAGGGGCCTTAAACTGTCCCTCTATCCCAGGATCTGATCCCAGATTTGTCCCTGATTATCTGGCAGTGGAGACTCGTGATCCACTCCGAAACAGATAATCTGGGATCAGATCCTGGGATATCGGGCAGCGTAGACCCCTTCTAGGACTCTTCAGCTGCAGGAAAACTTGCTGACCAGGAGGATGGCAGTTCGAAGTCGTGGGTCAGGGCGAGCTCCCGCTGTCAGCCCTAGCTCCTGCCGACCTAGCAGTTCAAAATCATGCAATGTGAGTAGATCAGTAGGTACTGCGGGAAGGTAAAGGCACCCATGCAGCATGCAAACGCAATCAGGAAGGTCTATGGACAACTGGCTCCTCGGCATGGAAATGGAACAAGAGCGCCTCCCTATTGTCAGAGTTGAGCATTGCATCCAGACGCTGGAGATGGAAAGGGAAATCTTTGCCTTTGTTTGTGTACTGTTTACTGTTTGTGTTTGTGTATAGAACGCCTATATATAAATATAATATATTTATATATAGGTAATTTTTGCCTATATATAAATATAAATATAAATGTAATGTTCATTTGTGGGATTAACATAACTCAAAAACCATTGGCTGAATTGACACGAAATTTGGACACAACACACATAACAGTTCAATGAGTTTCCATCACCCATAAACACACGCACACACACACAAAAGTCCAGCGGAGCAGACTTAAAAAACCCCCCAAATACTCCATATATACATATACACATACACTCATATACATATGCACACATTCATATATATATGAACAAGACACACACAAATATACACATATACACACATACATATACATACACACATATATACACATACACATGCACATACACATGCACACATACATATATACATATCCCAATGCACATACATATACATATCCACATACATATATACACATATATGCATATAGACAAGCACACACATATACACAATATGCATGTATACATATAAACACACAAATATACATATACACATGCACACATACATATATACATATCCACATGCACATACATATACATATCCACATACATATATAAACATATATATGCATATAGACAAGCACACACATATACACAATAGGCATGCACACATATAAACACACAAATATATGCACACATATATATACACACACAAAAACACACACACACACACACACATATATATGCAAGCACACATATAAAGCACATATACACAGACCAGGCCACAGCAACGCGTGGCAGGGGATGGTTTGTGTGTGTGTGTGTGTGTGTATAGTAATCTGCTCTGAGTCCCCTGTGTGTACCATTATTCCACACAAGGCAGATCATCCACAATCTCTGCTTTGAACTGGATTATCTGAGTCCACACTGACATATAATCCAGTTCAGTGTGGATTTTGTCCAACTGTGTGGAAGGGGCCTTACAATTCCATCGAAAAACCCAGATTATCTGCCTTAAAGTGGATTATATGGCAGCGTCGACTCCTATAATCCAGTCCAAAGCAGATCGTGTGGACGATCCGCTTTGATATAATCTGTATTACATGGCAGTGAAGACAGAAGGACAATGCAGTGGAGCTCATGTGGATGGCAACAGCTTCAGGCAGATTTGCAGAGGCTGAGGCTTGAACCCAGGACCAATACGGGAGTGGACAATACTAGAATAGTGGACAATACTAGGACAATGCAAAGGAGCCTCCAGCCTCATATGGATGGCAGCAGGCAGGAGGTTTTCCTTCTCAAACCTGCAGAGAAGGAGACTTGAACCCGGGACCGTCAACGACTCATCAACATCCAACCTTGCAGGGTCAGCTCTGGCCAGACGATGTAAAGTTCTCCTAGCCTGGCCTCTCTATAAGGATCTGATCTCATTCTTAGTCAGAGCAGAAGTCCCTCTAAGCCAGGCATGTGCAAACTTGGGCCCTCCAGGTGTTTTGGACTACAGCTCCCATAATTCCTAACAGCCGGTAGGCTGTTAGGAATTATGGGAGCTGTAGTCCAAAACACCTGGAGGGCCCAAGTTTGCACATGCCTGCTATTAGCCAGTTATATCCCGTAATAGAACCTCCAGCACTTGGGCTTCCTTGGCAGTCGCCTATCCAAACCCAAACCAGGACTGGCCCTGCTTAGCATCCAAAACTAAATCTAAAAATAATCATAATCATCCTCATCATTATAATAATACAATATTGGCTCTTGTCTGATGCCTTTAGAATAATTCCACCTGTCTTTTCATTATATTGAAAGGGACTCCCAAGGGTCATCTAGACCAACCCCTCACCATTAGACCGGAACTGGTGTTTTTAAATAATAATAATAATAATAATAATAATAATAATAATAATAATAATAATTTGGATCCAGTCTGGTGCCTTTAGATCCGGTATTTATTCATTTATTTATTGGAAGGGAACCCCAAAGGTCATCTAGTCCAACCCTTTCCTATGCAGACATACCCAATAAAGGCAGTCATCATGTTTTATCTTTGCCCGCTCTCTTTCCGGTTTGCTCCGCTTTTAGCAACGTTTCCTTATCTCTCCTTCCTGCTTTTTTTTCTTCTCTTCAACCATAAGATGGTGGAATATTATTTTTATCCCACGCTCTGGTTACATCCCGCCTTGATTACTGCAACGCTCTCTACGTGGGGTTGCCTTTGAAGACGGCTCGGAAGCTCCAATTAGTCCAACGGGCGGCAGCCATGGTACTAACAGGAGCAGGACGCAGGGAGCATACAACTCCTTTGCTGTACCAGCTCCACTGGCTGCCGATTAGCTACCGGACCCAATTCAAAGTGCTGGCATTGGCCTTTAAAGCCCTAAACGGTTCTGGCCCAACATATCTATCCGAACGTATCTCGGCCTATCAGCCCACCAGGACCCTAAGATCTTCGGGAGAGGCCCTTCTCTCCATCCCGCCTGCTTCACAGGTGCAGTTGGCGGGAACGAGAGACAGGGCCTTTTCTGTGGTGGCCCCGCGGCTTTGGAATGCCCTCCCTACAGAGATAAGATCAGCCTCCTCACTGATGATATTTCGGAAAAAACTAAAAACATGGATGTTTGAGCAAGCATTCGGCTAATCTGTCACGATGTTGTTTTTGACCAAGGACTGGCAATTACCGACAACGAATTGGATTGTGGTTTTTTACTTAAGAGATGCACTGGTCTGTATTGGTGGCCCAATACTGTGTATTATATATGTATATGTTTTTATATTTTTAATCGGAATATTGTTGTTTTAAATGTTGTTAACCGCAGTGAGTCGCCGTTCTAGGCTGAGATACTAGCGGTATATAAGTGTACCAAATAAATAAATAAATCCCGGGGCCAAATAATAATAATAATAATAATAATAATAATAATAATAGTTTATTTACATTCCGCTCTATCTCCCCAAAGGGACTCAGGGCAGATATACACACACACAGATATATATATATATATATATATATATATATATATATATATATATATATATCTCCCCCAAATGTCATTTTTCGTGTCAAAATATTTTCCAACTCAGGAGGAGTGACTTTGGCCACTTACGAATGTCCTTCTGTAATTTCTTTGTAGAGCACGGACCCAGCTTGTTTTCATGCGAGGGCATTAGTCACCTCTTTATTTATTTCCATGGGATCATTACCAGGGACATAATTGGGGGGATTTGACCACTAATGTGGGGTTCGCGGTGCACCTTTTGCAAAAAGGCAGGTGTGAGGTTTGCCCTGAGGCTGGAGACGTGGTCAGGGGAACAAGTCTGACCGGTGTCAATTCCTGGATGGATGTCAAAGATGATAAGTTGTCAACGGCATTAAATAAACAGCCCTCTGGTCAAACCGGATGGCTCAGATCCGCTAAGAAAGTGTTTGCTCTTTGCACCGGATCTGGAAAGCTGCGGTGGAGGCACTTACTCTCCTCATTTACACGGCACCATCACCCCGGCTTTGGTCCCACTTTTGATCCAGTTCCAGGGAACTTTCAGACTTCTGCACAACCCCATTATTCCATGGTGGATCCCATCTCAGCCACTTTTGAAGCTTCCGTATGACCCTATTATCCCACTTTGGTCCCAATTTTGATCCCATCCCAAGTACTTTTGGGATTTGCAGCTTTTTTGAGATTCTCTTCTAAATAGCTTTTTTGCCTTTAAAATGTTTTCCTTCTTCCCTTTCCCTCCTCCTCCTTCTTCTCTGTCTTTTTCTCCTCCTCTTTCTCCTTCTTCTCGTTCCTTCTCCTCCTCCTCCTTGTTCTCATCAGAAACTGCACTTTGCACATTTCTTGCCTCTTCTCAACTTTGTTTTGCTTCTCTTGCTGATGTGACTGGACTGCAACTCCCATCAGCCTCATCCAGATAGATTGACTTGTCATGAAAGTTCAATATTTGGCAGCCTTAAAGGGCCGGCAGCAAAACTTGGCAAAAGCTTAGTCACGGAAATGGTGCCATCCTCGTGCATGGCACTCAGCAGGGATAATGCATGCAAAATTATGGGTGCTTCCATGAAACTATGTAACCCTTGCTTCCTGCCTCCTGAGTTGACTTCCTGTTTCCTTCTTATTAAGCAAAAAAAAAAAAATTACATTCAGAGTAAACAAGTTTCTCAGGCAAATCATGAATCCCCAACATTGTGGTGCATTCCAGATATGGACAATTTCAGTGCAAGCTACAAATCGCAGGATCCCATAGCCTGGAGCCATGGCCATTCCCTTCTGCAATGTTGAGGCACCCCAAGGTGGTGCTCCCCAAAGAGGTTCAGGACCATGGAAAGCACCTTCAATATCGGAACCAACACCTGAAATAGATTCTCTGCTCCACTGGGAAGGAAGTTGCGGAGTTATAGTTGATGAATCTGGATCTGATCTAGCTATCCATCTTTTTAGCTCACCTTATCTGGATATCTATCTATCTCAGTGGTTCTCAGCCTTTTTTTTTTTTTGTCCAGGGAC